GGTTTACGCTGACAGCCAGACTCGATGTCATGATTCAGGTATGGCACAGTGGAGAAGATCAAAGTACAGGGATTCTGGTTTCGTTTTCTCCTCCCTTCGACACGAGGAACGTCCCTCATGTAATCACTTCAGTGCGTTATGACTTGAACTCGGAGCCTGTATGACCTCAGCACCTTGGCCTCTCGGTTCACTTGAGACACGTGTGGAAATATCTCCGCAAACCTTCAATACTGACTTAAATTTGTATTGCATTATGTAATTCACTGCGATCCACGGCAATCTGTAACCACTTACATTTAAAAAAATGTCCAATATTTGAGTAGTAGTTTATGTTACCTGTCATGTAACATGTTTTCTACTTTAAACATTGGTTTTTAACCATCTGTCCGATCGCTCTTCTCCAAAAGCAGCTAGCTTTGTGGTGACACGAAAAATATTTTGGCCAAATCTTTGCTCAGGAGAAGAAACAAATGTGCATAAAAAGACAAATTCTCTCCAGTATTTTGTAGTCATCCTTGGCCTGTAGTACTGTGATAATCCCATTATATATTTTAATCGTAAAAAAGTACTCTGATAATCCCATTATATATTTTAATCGTTTTTTTCTAACCTACGATTTATTGGAGAGAAAAGCTGAGAAAATACACGGGGGTTGTTTGAGGTAAAATACCAAACGTACACAGTAATCTCCAAACAGTAACATTCCTCAAGCTCCGTCGGGATTTTTTTTTCTTTTTTTTTTTCACTCCGTCGGGATTTTTTTTTCTTTTTTGAAAGCCCAATATTTATCATGCTAATGTAATGTTAGCGTAGGAGTCTAACGAGTCTTAGCTTCACCGTCGACCCCTGGACGTTTTCACAAACACATCAGCGCTGGTTTAACTTTTCCATTTAGTTACGATGTCACTCATGAGTTACTGATCTGAGGAGGTCAAATATTTACTCGTAGCTCATCGTCAATAACCAACCAACCAAAAGTTTTTTTCCTGGAGGCCGGTTGAGATGGTGTTAATGCGATGGTGCCTGTTGCCCCTACGCCCCCCCCCCCCCCCCCGCCCCCTTTAGCTTTTCGAGTTAAGGTGTCATGAGGTTGAGATCTTGTGAACCCAGGTTGAAGCTCAGCTACATTTAGCAGCAGCAGCAGCAGCCAGATGAGGCCGGAGGCAGAGTCTGTATTGATACGACACGATCACATGACGGCGCTGTGGTGCTTAAATGTTCTCGCCGCCTTATTTTTTGTTTTTTGTTTTTTTTGTTTGAAAGTCTTTGAGTTTTCATGGTTTTCTAAAAATACAGTTGTTTCATGACCGCTGCCCGGGGGGGAGGGGGGGGGAGGGAGGAACGGACGGACGGAAAAAAATAATAATCACGTTGGACCTTGAATTCGGAGCTGATTGAGTTCCTTCTTCAGCCGCTGTGGAATGTGAAGTTTCCCTCTTTAACTCGTTTGGTATGCTCCCAGTGTAGCATCAGTTCAAAAGCTTTGTGTGTTTGTGATCGTGTGTGTGTGTGTGTGTGT